CAAGAAAAGTATGTTTCAGTAACATGTTTCTCATAGCTTTGATGAGGTGAGGTGTATCGAATATAAAAAAAAATTTTTGATCGTTAAAAATAAAATAAGGTCTCTCAGGGGTTATTTGCAAAAAGTTTTTACATTGAATATTATTGGAGCCCATATCACTTACGGTTACAATAACGTTCAGTCTAATATTCCTTAACTTTTTAATAGCATCAAATACTATATACTTTAACTCTAAACCAGGGCATGTACTTTTGTAAAAAAAATAACTCAAAGGTTGCTTCCAATTAGAGAAAATCCCTCTGACCAACAAGACGGTGGCTGTTCTTGCTGGTTTAAATACTCTTTTCCCATTGCCGGGATCTTTCACGCCTACAACATAATCCGCATTACGGTTAAAAAAATTGCCTTTATGCTTCTCTCATCCACACACAGTATACAATATTTGTCCATTTCATTAAAATTGTCAGCTTTAATTTTAAGTGTTTTGAACACATTGGAGACTTCCAAACCTGGTGGGATGTCTATCCCACGTAATAAGATTCTAAGGGATTGCGGCCCAGGCAGGCAAAATAATTTATTTAGTTAGAAGTATTTTATAAACCTTTGGGCCAGAGATATCTAGGGATAAACACTTAAATTTAAATTCGTCCGAATACCTTCGACCTTTAGCTGATTTCATGCTTTGGATAATCTGAACATTAATAAATTCTGCGAGCTCTTTGGATGGGCACAGTGAATACGTACAAGATTTGTACTGTTCGAGAGTGATCGTGTTTTCCAATTTTTCTTGAAGCTTCGTTTCAAGATTGTTACATTTATTAAGAAGGACCTGGTTGTCTCTTTTCAACGCATTGTTCTCAAATTTCAGGGCATTGTTGTTTTCCTTTTTTGAGCTTCGAAAAGTTAGTTCATCTGATGTTTGAATACTCCGTGAAGGAAAACGTATTGGAGACCGCTGAATCGATTGTGCCTTATCGGAAGAGTTGCCAATGGTTGACGCTGATGGTTCCAAAAGCTGATATAAAATACTCGTACATGGCACTTGAGAGGTTTCAGTGCTAGAAGTCGATGTACTTGGAACTGCCTCGTCAACGATGCCACTTGAAACGAATTTGAGTGGAACAGCATCTTTTCGCAGTATTTGTCTCTTTCCTTTTTGGAACATCCGTGGAGAAAAATGAACATCACAAATTCTATAGCTCTTGTGAAGAGTGTCTACTTTGTATAATAAATCTGGTCTATAATACGCTAAGAGCCAAGATTTCAATCTGAAAAAAAAATGTACAGTTATTTTTCATTTTATTTAACCTGATAGCTTTAGACTTCCATTGTTTGGGATAGAGTTTAAATTTTGGGATAACTAATAAAGCTCGGGAGTTAAGCACTTAAAAAACAAAATATGGATGCAAATATGCACAAAAAACAGTCAAAATATGCACTAAAAACATATTTTTGAATTTAAATATGAATTTAATAAGTAAAGTAGACATTAAATTAACTAAAATTAACAACACTTTGAGATCGAAACCGGACATTTGGGCGCGATAATTGTAATTTTTTAATTTTTTCCAATTTGTATATTCATTAAAAAATTTTGGTCTTAAGAGTTTTACTACAATAAAGTTTAATAAAAAAATGGTATATTATTTTTATTGATTTAATTATATAAACGTTAAGGTATGTATGAATATTAAGGGTATAATTAGAGTAATTTCAGAAAGATATTGGAGAAAAAATAGAGAAATGCCGAAAATTACCTAAAATGTAGCATAATAAGAAAATATTAGAGATAATTTATTTTTTTCTACTCCTGTACTATAAGTTGTTAATTAAATGCTAATTTTCAGTTTCATAATGATACTCATTATAACACTGGTTTTCATTATGAAACTGAAAAATTTACCAATAGAAATCTAGATTTTTAAATAACCAAGTAGGCAGACCCAATATTTTCTGTAGAATGTTTGACAGTTTCTAAGAGATTCGTATTTTATGACAGTTTCAATCTTTCGCGTTAGCCAAAAAGGTAGATAGGTCTCACTTATTTTTAAAAAAATGTCGAGCGACGAAGAGTTTTCAGGTACACCACCTGAAATCGCTGAAAAGGCAAAAAATGTAAGCGATAGTTTATTACCAGCTAAATCAAAAAAGGTATATGATAAAATTTATAGTCAATTTATGGATTGGAAGGTAGCAAGAACAGTATCATCCTTTTCTGAAAATGTGTTGCTAGTATACTTTGAAGAACTCTCAATTAAATTAAAATCCTCATCTCTCTGGACACATTATTCTATTTTAAAAACCCAACTCAATATTAAACATGAAACTGATATTAGCAAATATCCAAAATTGCAAGCATTTTTAAAAAGAAAATCCGAAGGATATAGCGGAAAAAATCAAAAACCGTTTTGCCAGAAGAAATTAAAAAATTTATTGATGAAGCACCAGACCAAAAATACCTAATGACTAAGGTAAATACATATTTTTTACAATTTATTACTTATTTTGCATAGCAGTAACATACGTATATAATATGCTTTATGTTGATGATTTGTCAATGCAGGCGCGTAGCTCAGTGTGTAACAGCCAGTGTTGCCAGAATATATTTTTGTAATGTACCAGATTTATCTAAAAAATGTACCAGATTTCATAAAAATGTACTAGATTCTATAAAATTACCAGATTTTTCTAATTATGAGGTATGGTCATTAAAGAGCAAAAAAAGGTTTATAGAGAACACGAACACAATAATTTTAAACAATATTTTATCTCTCGACAAATTTTTGACACTATTTTATCTCTCGAGCAGTTTTTGAATAAGATTTTAATACTTTTTAATACTTTTTAATCTCTCGATAAATTTCTAACAATATTCTATCTCTCGAGCAATTTTTAACAACTTTTTTTTATCCTTCGAGCAATGTTTCTACAATATTTCTTGTACAATTTTTAACACTCAAGCTATTTTTGAACAATAATTGATCTCTCGTGCAATTTTTGAACAAAATTTTAACAATTTCTAACCCTATTTCATCTCTTGAGCTATTTTTAAACAATATTTTATCTTTCGATAAATTTCCAACAGTATTCTATTTCTCAAGCAATTTTTAACAACTTTTTTTTATCCCTCGAGCAATGTTTGTATAATTTGAACACTATTTAATCACTCGAGCAATTTTTAACAGCCTTTTTTACCTTTCAAGCTATTTTTGAACAATATTTGATCTCTCGTGCAATTTTTGAGCAAAATTTAAAAAAAAAGATTTAACACCTTTTGATAATATTTTATCTCTCGAACAGTTTTTAAACAATTTTAAACAAATTTCTAACAGTATTCTATCTCTCGAGCAATTTTTAACAACTTTTTTTTCCCTCGAGAAATGTTTGTACAAAATTTGTTGTACAATTTTTAACACTATTTAATCACTCGAACAATTTTTAACAGCTTTTTTACTCTTCAAGCTATTTTTGAACAATATTTGATCTCTCGTGTAATTTTTGAGCAAAATTTTAATAATTTTTAACACTATTTTATCTCTCGAGAAATTTTTATTAACATTACCTTTCTAACAATTTTTAAACAATAGTTTATCTCTTGAGAAATGTTTAACAGTATTTTTTAATTCTCGAGTAATTTTTGAATAAGATTTTAATGAATTATGATACTATTTTATCTCTCGAATAGTTTTTAAACCTTTTTTATCTCTTGAGCTATATTTTAACAATATTTTATCTTTCAATAAATTTCTAACATTTATTCTATCTCTCGAGCAATATTTAACAACTTTTTTATCTTTTTAGCAAGCTGCTCAATATTTTAACTCTCGACAAATTTATGAAAATATTTTAACTCTCGATAAATTTTTAACAATGGTTTATATCTCGAGCAATGTTTGTACAATATTTTAATTTTTTAATTTTTCAATAGTATTTTATTTCTCGAGCAATTTTTGAACAAGGGTTTAACATTCTGTAATACTATTTTACCTCGAGCAATTTTTGAACACGATTTTAACAAATTATAATACTATTTAATCTCTCGAAAAATTATTAAATATTTTTCTCTCATTAAATTTCTAACAGTATTTTTATCCCTAGAGCAATTTTTGAACAATATTTTATCCCTCAAGCAATTTCTAATACTATTTTATACTTCGACCAATTTTTAACACCCTTTTTTACCTCTCAAGCCATTTTTGAACAATATTATTTGATCTCTCGTGCAAATTTTAAACAATGTTTTATCTCTCGAGAAATGTCTACTATTTTATATCTGAAGGAATTTTTAACAACTATTTTAATTTCTCTTGCAATTTTTGACCAATATATTTTACACTTCAAATGGAAACATACGCTGAAAAAAGTACTAGATTTTGTTTCGAGTGTACTTGAGTACCAGATTCTCAGAGAATGTACTAGATCTAGTACAATTGTACTAGACTGGCAACACTGGTAACAGCGCTGACAAAGATTGTTTTCAATCTGTACATGCCGGGTTCGAGACCCGCTCAGTGCATTTTTTTTTTATTTTTTTTTTTTTTATTATTTATTCAATTAAAACTAAACAAGCACAAAAATGATGAATATTGTCTTTCATTTATTTTTTTGATTTAAATTGTTTTTTTTTGCATGTAGCTTTAATTTTTGGAATTATGGGAGCATGCAGAAGACATGAACTGCATGATTTAAAATTTCAAAACGTCAAAGATTTTAAAGACTGAAAGTTTCGGTGTAGAATATCGGTGTAGGTGTTCTTGAAGGTCACGAGCCCTCGAAGATCATGTGATCGGAGATATACTTCTGGTTATTATTTATTCTTTTGACGCAGACCATGTACATTTTTTCTTTAATTTGTATGTTTAGTTGTAGAAATGACCTCATAATAGATCACCTAGTTTTGTAGTTTGAAATAAATCAAACGTTCTATTCTTCCAACTATGTATGTTGGCTGCCTTTCATTAGTAAATTTCATTTAACTATTTCAATTTTATATTTTTTAGCCTAAAGAACGTGTATGTGACATGAATCCAGAAGACCAGAAAAAATGGGAAGAAGAGCAAATGTCACTTCCTGTCGAATTCATCTGTAATATTGATCCAGCACCCTTCCAATTAGTAGAAAGGACTTCCTTATTGAAAGTCCATTCAATATTTTCGATGGTTGGAGTCAATCATGCCTACGTAACGGCAATCGGCAAACTAGTGGGGGTAGTAGGTTTAAAGGAACTGAGAAAAGCTATAGAAGATGCTAACAGCGGTAATTTACCTCCTAGTGTATTGGACATAAACGGGGTAAATGGGTTAAATGATTTGCCAGATGAACATGAGAATGAACCAAATGTGACAACGAATTTAATGGTTAAAGATTCGCAAGTGTAATTTTTAAGGTCATTTCGCAAGAGAGTGAAATTGAAAATTGGATTTAAATTATGACTTCAAAATAGGCATTTTTTTTGTCGGTACTGATAAATAATTTTGTTCAGTATTCGTAGAAATGATGTACGAATATCAAATAAATGCATATATGGATATATCAGGGCGATAGCATGAGAAAACGGAAAGATGAAATAGCTATCAAATTAATGTTCAAAAGTTCATTTCATTTATCTACACTTGATATCTTGATATGCAGCCAGTAGCTTTAAAACAGTATTTAACGTGAACTATTTACGGTATTATATAACGTGAATATATTTTTTTTAATAATATCTGGTTAGCACTTTTATATAAATTCTTATCCCTGCCTCAAGTACTAAATACCAGCGTTCATTTTTTAATATGGACATATTCTCGAAACATTTACGCTCCAGTCACATGTACTGGATAGTACGAAAGCTATTCTCTCACAATTAATCACAATTAATTGCCAGATAGTAAGTCACAATTGCGAGATATTAAGTCACAATCGTGAGTTAGTAACTCACAATTGCGTGATATTAAGTCACAATTGCGAGATAGTAACTTATAATTGTGAGATATTAAGTCGTAATTGTGAGATAATAAGTCACAATTTTATTGCGAGATAATTTTTTTTATATATATAAAAAGGTGGCCCCAGGAAGTTTTCGTAGGATAGTGTATATATGGTACCTAATATCCGTCATCAAAGTATACAGGGTGGGCCACTTAAAAGTTCCACCATCCTTATTCTCGTTATTCATTGAGATATCGGAAAATTGTTTATTTTGTTTGAAAGAGTGGAATAAATACTGTCTTATGAAGGATTCAATTGTTCTGTGACATCACGGCTTACTTCCGGTTTTTCCGGAAGTAACAGAAAATCGCAATTTATTTTTTATTTTTAAACTGAAACCCACTTTTTTATTGTAAATTTGAATTTCTGGGACATTTTTGTATAATAATCGTGTATTGAATTTTTTCTGGCAGCTGTCAAAATGGCCACCATATTGGAAAAAAAATGGGATTCTATGATCAATTTTTACGATTACAATGGCCGCATTCAGCAGAAGCAACCGATTATCAAACGATAACTTAGCGATGACTTATTGATTAGTGAATCTCCTGAAATGAACTTTTTAGGCACTTCGACAGGCGACATAAAAGTGACATGTACTTCAGAAAAAAGTCATCATCTAAAACATATGTACAAAATTTAGAATAAAACACCAAATAAATTACTCAACTACATAATTAAAAATTTATGTATTTGCCTGATTTTAATGCATTGTGCACTTCACTTCATTACCAACTACAATATATTTCATATTGTTATAAACATATATCACTTCAAAGTCCTTCATTTCAGTGAAAAATGACAAATTCAGTGTAAAAATGAATTCAAAATAAACATAAAATAAGTTTATGAGTTATGAGCACCACCACAAAACATTCACTTCAGTTGGTATGAGTTCTAAATCTAATCACGATGTGATAACTAATCGTATTTCAAATTCGATGTTTTAAATAGCGGCCGATAACTCATCATTTGATTACTAATCGCTCTTTTATATATCATTCAGCAGAAAATCATAAATCGATTGCTTCTGCTGAATGCGGCCAATACTTACCGTTTATCGAGGGAAGTAAAAATAAGATAAGTATACTTAATCTCTTGAATGCTCCTCTACTATTTTTAAAGGTGATGTATCAGTCTCCTTAGTTTTTTTTTGTATGTTGCCGGCTGGCTTTAAAGCTTTAAAATCACACTAAAGCTTTGTCCCAACATCTTACAAAACCGTAATATTACGGTCATCGTCATGCGCAGTAAATAAAAACCTATCAATAAAGCCCAAAGTCGAACGGTTTTTATTTAGTGCGCATGACGATGACCGTAATATTACGGTTTTGTGAGATGTTGGGACAAAGCTTATATCTCTTGCTCGTACTATACGTGTGAACGCGTCAATATTTGATGCTAGATATCAGGCATCTTATATACGGTATTCGGCATGTGTGAAAGAAGCGTTATTGTTTTCTTCTTTAATCTTTTTGAGATTTTTTTCAAAAATGTAACGTACTAATAAGGTAACAAAATGATATCAAGTGTAGGTAAATATAGTGTACGATTTCAGTATTCAGAAAGAACTTTCAAATTGTGTGTTAAAATCTTTTATGTTCTTGAGAATTTTAGTTTATATTGAACCATCATAATACATTTAAATATTATTTTCGCTCTTATCCAGAAGGAATCAACCATTTTTTTTAATGTTTATAATTTTTTAAATGTGTAGGTATAGTGCATTTAGAATATTTTGTTACCTAGTCAAGTTTACGATTAATTTTAAATATAAAATATATAAGATTGTGAAATATTGTTATCAAGAGAGATATACGTTTTTTAAGCGCTACTTTGGTACAATGTTTAATGGTTAAGTTAGAAATCACAGCTAATTAGTTTCTAATTATTAAAAATTCCGATGCTCGTGAGAAGTGGGTCGCAAGTTTCTAGCTCTAACAACTGAGGCATTTACTTTTATTAAAACTGTATGTTTGGACTATAGAAACCTTAACAATATTTGCTGAAAATCTTTAAAATATAATGATATTTTTTCATTTTTGAATTAAGAATATAAATTTTAAAAACAAATAATATGGTTGATATACCTACCGTAAAAAAGCCGAAGATGTACATATTGAAACCGACCACTGAAATAAAATAAAAATACAGGCTGCCCGTAAAAGGTCTTTACAAAAACATAACACATATTCCTTAGACCAAAATAAGTCGATTTAAGTAAAATTACCTTTGTACAAAGTTGCTTCGTTTGGGCTCCAGAGGGCCTTGAAGTTACAATTTTTAAATTGTTTTTCCCATATAAATTTAAAACGGCATGTGCGATTTTGCTGAAATTTGGTATATTGGTAGAGTTTTATGTGGCAAAAAAATGGTATTAAAATTTTGTCCGATAATAATACATAGGCGTATAACTTGATTTTTTAAATAGTTGCACCTTTAAAAATTCTACGCCAATGAAAGAAAAGGAGTTTTAGTATGAAATTTAGATTGCGCAACTCATTTACTTTAAAAAAGGTACTCTTGATAAGACTCGATTACTCTCATGGTTTTCGCTAAATTTCTGTTTTAATAATTTAGAGTGTATATGTTTCACAAAAATATTTATTTACAACATAATCAAAATAGAGATTTTACAAAAATTGTTCTAAATGTTCACAATTTTCACGCATACAAAGATTTATACGTCGAAGAAAATTAAAATGTATCCTTTCCATAACTTCTTCATCACCTCTAAGATTGTTTATTGCATCTTGAATACGTTGCCAGAGTTGTTCCTCATTTTCTACAGGTTCCCTGTAAACTGTGGATTTCAGATGTCCCCATAAAAAGTAATCCATCGGTGTTAGGTCTGGGGAACGTGGTGGTCAGTTTACAGGTGCGTCATTACCTCTGCCTATCCATTTGTGTGGATATTGTTCATTCAAGTGGTTTCTAACGTTTAAAGAAAAATGTGGTGGAGCTCCATCTTGCATAAACCACATATCTCTCCGAAGTTGGAGAGGTAAATCTTCTAACAATTCTGGCAACGTATTTTGTAGAAAATCCAAATAATTTTCTCCAGTTAATCTTCGTGGAAGTATGACAGGACCAACAATGAAATTACCAATTATTCCAGCCCACACATTAATTTTGAATTCGTGCTGAAAATGATTTACCTTTATTGCATGCGGATTTTCAACGGCATAAACATGTTCATTATGGGTATTATTTATACCTCTTCTTGTAAAACCCGCTTCATCGGTAAAGAGGACCTTTTTGACAAAGTTCGGATCTCTTTCTCTTTGCATATTAACAAATCGACAAAAACCCAAACGAATTTGAGGATCATGGACTAATAATTCTTGTACTGGCTTCTTATGGTATGGATATAGCAATTGTTCTCTAAGCACTTTATGATCGACATCTTTACTTACTCCTAGTTCCCTTCCAATTCGTCTGGTGCTTAATTCTGGATCTTCTTCAACACGTTCTAAAATGTCTTCTTCAACTTCAGGAATCCTTACAAAACGTTCTCTTCCATTATCAACAGTGTTGGGAGCAAAGGAACCGGTCTCCCGAAGACGTCTCTCAACAGCAGCAAAAGTTGGGTGGCTAGGTACACGACGATTTGGAAACCTTTCAGAGTACACCCTGACACTCTCTCGAGCATTTCCTTCACAAAATCCTAATGTCAGTAATATATCGGTATATTCTGCATTGGTATATTGTACAGCCATATTAATAAACCACGCATTTGTTTTTTTAATTATTGAGTCAGATAGAACACTTTCAATCGTTAACACGAGATTAGGTGTTAAAACTTGACAATATTTTTATTTAGATAAAACTATGGAAACCAACAATAAATGTTTTTGTATACGTATTGCAGGCAAACAATTAATATTCCTCAAAAAATCGTACATGGCAAGAATCGAGTATTTTTGTTAAAAGTCTCAATTAGAGGTGTTGAAGAAGATATGAAAAAAGTACATTTTTATGTTTTTCATCGTATAAAATTTTGTCCGATAATAATACATAGGCGTAGAACTTGATTTTTTAAATAATTGCACCTTTAAAAATTCTACGCCAATGGCAAAAAGGGGTTTGAGTATGAAATTTGGATTGGGTACTCATTTACTACAAAAAAGTACCCTTGATAACACTCGATTTACTCTCATGGTTTTGACAAAGTTTGTGTTTTAATAATTATTGTTTATGTTCTAAAATGACTAAAATGCAAATTTCGTCAAAACCATGAGAGTAATCGAGTCTTATCAAGAGTACCTTTTTTAAAGTAAATGAGTTGCGCAATCTTAATTTCATACTCAAACTCCTTTTCTTCCATTGGCGTAGAATTTTTAAAGGTGCAATTATTTAAAAAATCAAGTTCTACGCCTATGTATTATTATTGGACAAAATTTTAATACCATTTTTTTGCCACATAAAATTCTACCAATATACTAAATTTCAGCAAAATCGCATATGCCGTTTTAAATTTATATGGGAAAAACGATTTAAAAATTGTAACTTCAAGGCCCTCTGGAGCCCAAACGAAGCAACTTTGTATAAAGGTAATTTTACTTAAATCGACTTATTTTGGTCTAAGGAATATGTGGTATGTTTTTGTAAAGACCTTTTACAGACACCCTGTATAACTAAAGATAAAGATAAGGACAATCACTTTTCAGATGTGCTCTAGACATTTTTCTATTGAATAGTAATCACAAAGCACTATAGAAATTTATATAATATAAACTGATGTTTAAATTAGTCGAATTGTGTAATTATGGAAGAAGAAAAGAAAAGGACATTGCTGAATCAATCAAACAAGTAAATTCGGACAAGAACCGTATGAGGGAAAATATTTTGCAACGGGTTAGGATCATTTTCATACAAACCACACATAGACAAAATCTAATTATTTTTGGCCGATATCTTAGACAAACCAGAACTTAATACTATTCGAAAATACTTTTTTAAATGCGAAAAATTAGTAATTTTACGTTTTGTTGTTGAGAATTCATCATTTTTGGGTTAATTTATGGATCTGCAGTAGTGTTCTTGATTGAAGAGCCTTTTGGTTATATCTACTATTATTTTAAAAGAAAGATTCTATTCTCGTTAAAAACAATCTGACAATACAGTACGAAACAAAATAAACTTAAGAACAAAAAATATTATAAATAAGTGTACAAAATGAACTTAGGTAACGATGATGATGATGAAATTAATTCATCATTACTCTACTTTGTTGACGCGTCGAGCAGACAGAGTTTGGTTACGGGTCTCTTGTACGTTCCTGTACAAGTTTTATATCTACTACGCGGATTAGTCCATCACTCCCCGGGTAAACTCTAGTAATGATTCCTTTTGGCCAACTTTTCTTGCTAAGTTCTGAGTCCGTAATAATAACGATGTCGTTGATTTGAAATTCTCGAGTCGATAAGGGAAACCATTTTGTCTTCTTCGTTAGCACAGGCAGGTATTATTTTACCC